TTGAAGAACCATATAGTTTTATTGGGTATTATAAGCCACAAGGTGTGGATGCATCTACGCCATTGGAAACGATTTTGAGCCAGACCACCAATTGTCTCTAACAATTGGTTTTCACCGTCCTGAGGACCCAAACTAGGAAGTCTACACCTCCTCACGTGGCTGGCTGGCTAACTGTTATGGATTTCATTGATTGATGAAGCCATGTTTTGTTTGACCACCACTGGCTCTTTACCAATCTGGCCCTATGTCAGCTAACATTACCCGTCAAGGAAGGCAACGGCTAGGCATAAGTAATACATGTGCTAACCATCTGAATCGATGTAACTTCACAACCTCGTCCAGTGATTTCCCCTCCTTACCTAGCACTTGACGCTTAACCTCAGTATTGCTTACCCTATTATACCACTTCACACGGGTGATGGGATTATATAGCACATAATTTCTCTTGTTCATTTTGTTTTAATTGATTGAAATATGACGTCTAATAGAGTTGTTTATACTAGCGAGTATTTAAAACATCTACCTGCTGGTTCGCTAGATTCGAGTAAACTTGAGAAAAGCATAATCGTGAGTGGCAACATATCCTAATACGTGAGATAACTATTCACGAATTATGTCCTTGGGTCTCAAAATGTACTCCCAAACGTTTTACAATAGGCTCTCAACTAAATATCGTGCATCTCTCTAAAAAGATAAAGAGGTAATACTACAAGGAATTGGTTTGCGCTTCAAGTTAGGCAGCATTGTGTAGCAGGATCTAATGTTAATTAGTATTTTATCCGAAGATCCTGTACGAAGAGGAATTATTATGCAATAAACTCCACTCGAAATTCCGTACATTATATTAAAGACCATCCAGAATGAAGCTGTTATTATCAATTAAAAACAAACAACTGTACGTCTAGTTGTGGTCTAATTAAACGTGTAGTAAAGTTCCGAAATTCAGAAGTGACTGATGCAGATTCGCATTTTCAACAAAGCATGAGTAGTTTTTTAGGATTGCGATAACATTCCGCGAATTAATCTGCCTACTGTAAAAAAACCGAGCTGAGGACTTCCTACTGCTGGATTACCAATGCCTAGCAGCATTAGGTATATACATTGAATATTTGTGATGAGAGCTGGCTGCTAGCCAAATTGGTAGACAGTAATTTACGTCCTCAATATTGGTCGTGAGAATGATAAGAACAAAGGCTAACTCAACAACCAATCACAGCAGACTTTGCGTAGGTGGATACAATTCGCAGATAGATAATCTGAACTTCAAGAAGTGGTCACAAAGAGATAAAAGATTAACGTTCAGCGAGAAACCACCAATCAGAAAACTGTGTTTGTTTGCTTACAATGGATACTTTACTTCGGCTATCTCCTACGGGAGGATGAGCCGGCTTCATGAACATCTCGAATCATCGCTGCCCAGGCGCGGCGATCTGATGCAAGGTTTTGCGACAGGGTTATCCAATTCTTGTTCCACAGACGGAGTCCGTAGACGGTTTGTAGCCCCAGGCACTCCATATCAGCCTTGACTGTACCAAGCCATGTCTTCAGCTGTCCACCCCTGCGACATCGCCAAGATGGTAATGGCGAGGGATTTAGAACTGATTTGACCAGATCGTCATCTGGTCGGCGCAGAACATGGCCAAACCACCGAAGGCGGCGTTGTTGGACCAGTACTGGAATTTGGTTGATGTTGTAGCAACGACGACGCACTTCTTCGTTGGAGAGTTTGTCCTGCCAACGAACATGCAGAATGTACCTGAGGCACCAATGGTCTACTACCTCGAGTCTGCGTAAATCTTCCGCGCGAAGAGGCCAGGTTTCACAGCCATACAGGAGAACGGGTCGTATGGAAGCTTGGTAGACCCGAATTTTAGTCCTGAGACTGATTTCTCTCTTGCTCCATAGAACGCTCCTCAGCTGTAGAAACGCATTCCGGGCGTTGGAGATTCGCGCATTCACTTCGTTTTTCGCTTGACCGTTGGGGAGCATTATGGATCCCAGATATCTGAAGGATGGCACAATTTCAATAGGTGCTCCATTTAGGGATAAGATTTCATCATTGCTGGTGGATGTGTTCGAAAACATTTTGGTTTTGGAAGTGTTAATTTTCAAACCGATAGTAGGCGCGAGGTGGTTTATCTGGTCGAGCGCCTGTTGCATATCGGGGAAGTTTTCAGCTAATAACACGACGTCGTCGGCGAATTCGAGGTCGGTTATGTGAATATCGGGCGAAAGTTGGACGCCGTGGTGCTCGGTTAGGGCGTGCCGCAAAATCCAATCAACTGTGAAATTGAACAGGATGGGGGATGCTGGACAACCTTGCCGGACACCGCTGGTTACCTCAAAAGTGCGGACTCTTCACCGTTCACTCGGACTCGAGCTTTGGTGTTGGAGTAGTATGACCTGAGCAGGTTGATTAGCTTGGTCGGAACTCCGTCGAGCTCCATTAGATACCAGAGTGCTCCTCGATCAACTGAGTCGAATGCCGCTTGGAAGTCGATGAAGCAAGCAACCGTCGGCTGTTGGAATTTGTCCCTGTGTTCCAAAATTCTTCGCAGTGTGAATAATTGATCAACACAGCCTCTTCCAGGTCGAAATCCGGCTTGATTTGGCCTTGTTCGCACGTGGCGTTCGGCCGCGAAGCGGTTCAGGAGAATGGAAACAAAAACCTTAGCAGCGATATCAATCAGACTTATGCCTCGGTAGTTCTCGCATATTGACCTGTCTCCCTTTTTGTGGAACGGTAGCAGAACTGAGGTGCTCCAATCGGAAGGAATGGTTTCGGACTCCCAAATTGAGCAGAACAGCGAGTGCAGCGATCGATTAGCGCTGGAGTGCAGGCCTTGTATATTTCTGGAGGTAGACCATCTTCGCCCGGAGCTTTTTTGTTTCTGAGTCTGTTAATTGTTTTAGCTATTTCGGTTGGAGTGGGTGGATCGCAGTCAACTACGTAGGGTGTTGGTAAGTGTCGTATCGGTCGATGAGACGGTTGACCAGCGTTGCGATTGAGTAGCTGCTTGAAATGTTCGGCCCATCGTTCCATCTTACCATTGGTGTCCGAAATAATTTCTCCTGATGCTGTGCGTAACACAGCATGACTGTTAAGGCGTTTGCCAGATGATAGGCGTATGAGGCGATAAAGTTTTCCGAAATCGCCTACATTTGATGCTGCTTCCATGTTAGTCGCCACGTTAGACCAATAGCGATTTCTGTCATTCCTAGCTTTGCGCCTGAGGGAGCGATAAACTGGAGACTTTGCTAGGCGAGCGTCTCTGGCTTGCGAGGATAGATGCATGGTGTGCTCTGAAATCCAGTCTTTCTGCTTCTTGGATGTGGTACCCAAATGCGACATTGAAGCTTTAGAGACTACTTCTTTGAAATGATTCCATCGTGTCTCAGGTGTATTAGAAGATGTGGATGTTGGTTCATCTGCGGCGCTTAGTTCGGCCTGGATTTGTTTGGACAAGGCTTGTCGCTTTGTCGAACATTGAAGCGGGGCAACATTGATACGCTTCGGAGGTCGCGCCTTCTGGCGTGTTGTTAAACGAAGTTTGAATTTCGCCCGAACTAGAGTATGGTCTGATCCCCCTTTATTTCCGGCCTCTGGCCACGATAGGATCGACAGTCTTCCACCGAGGAGATCCAGCGTGAGCGCACTAGGATGTAGTCGATCTGATGTGCAGTGCGACCGTCGTTCGAATACCAGGTGAGAAGATGTTTTCTAGGGTGTTGAAATCGAGTGTTGGTGATATATAATCGATTGTAATCAGAAAAAGCTAAAAGTCTATCACCATTACGGCAGCGCTGATCGAGACCGTGTTTGCCTAGTATATGTTTTGTCGCGTCGTCTGAAGGGCCAGTGCGGGCGTTCCAATCGCCGGCTACTATGAGAACGTCACGCTTTGGGATTTTGTTGATTGCCTCTTGAAGATTGTCATAAAATTCGTCTTTGATACTTTCATCAGAGTCGAGGGTTGGGGCATAGACAGCGAGAACAGAAATGTCGAGCGGGGAACCCTTGAACCTAGCGACTGCAACTCTGGAGTTGACCGGTTCGAATGATATTAGGGCATTATTGGCTTTGTTACTGAGAGCAAATGCTACCCCATGTTGTCCCGAATTATTCTGGGGTCCACTATGAAGCAACCAGAATGAAGAATCTGTTCCAGGTACGGCTATTCGGCGGGAGCCATGATCGGGTAACCTCACTTCAGATAGACACGCTATGTTCACCTTGTAGTCGTATAAAGAACGCATGGTGATAGACTGGCTACCAGGATCCAACAGCGTCCTAACATTCCAGCAGCCAACAAATAGTTGGTTTCTAAGTGTTAATTTCCCAGCTAGCTTACTTTTCACACTGGCCACCGGGTGAGCACAGGGCGCGTCGCTTACCGGGAACGCCGTAGCATGGTGAGAGTTGTTTGTAGAGAGTTCATGAAGTTTCATGGGAATTTGGTACGAGTGATGTCCCCAGCATCGCTCGGCCTTTTGTTTGAGAGTGCAGCTCTAGCCTTTACACAACCAAGTGTGACCTACAAGGCAGTAGGAGTGGAGTAGGAGTCCACTATCCATTGGCAGCCGGTGACCGGAGTTCGGTTCATACGCCTTTTTGAATGGGGCCAGACATCCAGGACATCCAACAAGCCCTTTGTCCATACGTCTGCCGGTGAGCTCCAGTGAGCTTCATACGCCAGTCGTTGGAGGTTTGGAATCAGGGTTTAGCCATCTCCCCTAGACTGTCATCCAATGGACAGTCAACCCGGTGAAGAGCGCCGGGCATCCGCTTTTGCCCTCTCACTTTAGTGAAAAACACCTCCGCCACGTGAAGGCAGTGAGTAGGACTTCCTCAGGAGAGGCTATGTAAGACGCCGGTCATATGGGAGCATTTCAAGAGGTGTATGGAGGGGTGGCCAACCCGCAGCGCAAGGCACCCACCCCCGACCATACTGAGGCTTTGGAGGCTTTACAATGGATCTATAATAATGTACATGAAAATATATAAATATGTGTTGATTTTGTAAATAAACGATCTGTTGCCTGGCGTTTGTCTTCTGTCCTTACATATTTTCTTTGAATAAAAAATATTTTGCACATATCTGTAGATAACTTGAGATGGAACTGTTATCCGGCAAGATTTTTACCAATGTCTAGATAATATTTTAAGACACCTTAGGATCAAAGTTAGATTGAAATAGTTTAGGATCATGATGATGTTTCATCGCTTGCAGTATACAGACTAAGTCAAGTACCCTTTTAGTTAAAATGAATGGTTCAGAAGTGTTGTGTACACTAAGCGATGCACATTGAAATTTATCTTTTTTATCCTTAAGGGTGCAAAACTTGGTATTTTCGAAGTAATGTCAAGTTAAATAGGTAAATACAAATGTGTACATACTCTATCTGGGAAAAATAAAAAAGTAAAGTGGATTTGCAGGGCAGAATCCCAAAAGTAACAGGTTTTAACGTCTCCCACCTAGAATTATAAGTTTTAAAATGTATTAAAACCAAAGCTAGAAGAGTCCTAATGGGCCGAAACGTTTTGCGTGCAGGAAACATTCGTTTGAAATTACCTATGGAAAACAACAAATCTCTGGTGAACTCTAAACAACTGCAATACTTATGTCTATTTGAAATTGTGTTGTTTCATAGTATACTGCTGAATACGAATCAACTAACAAGGAACTTCAGCGTACTTGAAAAAACCGCAACGTGATTTCAACTTCGCAGAACACAATCAATTAAGAAAAGTAGATCAGATAATATACAAGATGCATACATTTAATAAAAATAAGTTGAATTGATCAAGCGATTTCAATGTCATCATTTGTCACATTTTCTGAATTACTAGTATCCATCTTCCGTTTTTTACGTATCTTTTCAATCTTTTCATCTAAAGTAGGTTCGACTTGTCTAACACATAGCTTCTTGATTGGATTTGGAGGATGAAACCGAGCTTCTGGACATATTTTATCTAAATGATGGTTCAGCGATGAACTATTTGGAAAGGAACCTAAAATAAGCAACAAGTAAATATCTCAGAGATAATATATACCGACATATGGGGTTGTGTTTGCGCAAAATTAGGAATTGCAAACTATTATGCATGAAACAGATTATATAATGCTATAAGTGTTTTTTGGGGGAAAAAATCTTGTAAAAATAGAAATAAGTTTAATGCAGAGCTAGAGATAACAAGAGAATTTCTCGTACAACTCTTGCCCCTTTAACTTTTGCATAAATGCTTTTAGTGCTGAACAGGATACTAGGATCATTAGGAATATCTGAATTACTAAGATAACGAATAAAGAATTTATCTGAGAGATTATTCCTCTATAATAACAGCTAAGCGTAAAAACCTCCTGTAGCTGTGCGAAATACTGAACACATATTGTAGAAACCAATGAAGTGGTGTAATTTGATACAATGGCAAATAAAACTAATGTAGCTAAATATTATCTGTGATGTATTAGTACAATTGAATTCATAGGCGAAGTATCAAGTAACACTCTAATTCTATAAACAAACTGATACGGCTACTTTGAATTTACAGGATTTCACCGTGAGCTGACATTAATTAGAGAACCATCGGAAAACCTGGGAGTACTGGATAGCTATTTCGTCCTAGTTTGGGACTCTTCAATAGTACGCACCCACCAGGGTTCGAACACAGGACCTTCTGGTTACAAAGCGAGCTCGTATACCATTAGTTTGAATTTGCCAACTTTACTACCATGCATTGGTGGCTTTTAGTAGTAAAATACTCGCAAACCACCCCCACGTGGCCCGGGATTCGATCCCCGGCCGACGCACTCCTATGCCTCGCTAAGCCGGTAGTAGGCTCGGTAAAGAAGGAAGAGTGGACTTAAGGCTAGCAATCCCCCACGGTCAACAACAAAGAAGAATAACACTACTGCTACTGAAACCTTAAAGCTCAATTTAGAAGCCGCACGTTCCACTTGGAACGCAAAGGTATAAGAAAAAATAGACTTTATTACGACTGTATAAGGTGCTATCGTCTTGTCAATTCCAACTACTGTAGATTAGTCCCAGAAAACTTCCCCTGGAAAATAAATGATGTGACTTCTTGGCTTAAGTACTCGATTTTCAACATAGCACCTTAAAAGCACCCACAACTTTTACAGATCACTTGCATTCACTATTCAGAATTACAACATAACCTTTTTGGTAAAGAATACGATGAAACTATTACTACCTGGTGTCTGAAACAACCATTAGGATTTTGACGGTAGATATACTAATCACCAGATGATCAAAACTCCTGAGAAATAAAAACTGCGACAGTGATGATGATGATGTTATCAGGGAATTTGAAAACCTATCATTTAGACGTGCGTCGGTGGTATAGCGGTTAGGACGCTCACCGACCACTTACATGGTCCGGGGTTCGATCCCCGGCCACCGACGCGTTCCTTTACCTCGTTAAGCCAGAAATAATTCTGGTAAAAAGGAAAGGTTGGGCATGAGGCTAACAACCCCATCCTGTAAAATAGACACTGCTACAGAAACTTCAGGCCACTAGCTTGAAGCCCTATGTCCACTGGGGAACGAGAAGGAAAAAAAATCATTTAGACACTAAAGTAACATGTATTGTAGAGGCACTATGGTATTTTGTTTTTACACTCGTTAGATTTCCAGACACTTAGACAGTAAGGTTAGTTAGAGTTAAACAGGAATATACGCTTATAACATAGAATATAAAAGTTAAGATACATACTTTCAACGAAGTCTAATATTCTTTTAATGACAGCTGATCTGAAAATATATTCAAATAAAAAATTGTTTATTTAGTTAAAAAAAAATAGAATTTACCGAACTCCATATTCAGACCACAACTTTTGATAATGTTTAACCAAATGTAATTGTGCAGCTATAAATTTTAACAATGAATGTGAAAATAATCATTTTGCTATATACCTTCACTGGTTTCCCAACTCAGCGCAGATTCTGGATATTCACCGGTAATGAATAACAATGGAAAATCTTAAGAAAGCATTAAATGAAAGTGTACAACTAACAAACTTACCAGCAGACAGTTGATATTGTGGTTTAGCAGGAGTCTTATTTAAATCCAATAAGTCATCAATAACCTTTAATATCATAATGAAAGAGAATAGCTTTAATATATCTGGTCATTCAGTATTTTTCACTAAACTAAATCAACGTGAACAAGATTAATTAACATGATAATATAATACATTCACTTACTGCAATGCATAATATACCATAATTGGACAAATTTGTTTTGAAAGAGTTAACTTTACTCTCTATTAATCAAAACAGTCAATAACAATAAGATGCACAAATAAGCAACGTAGAGACTTGTGCATTAGACTATTGACACACTATTCATTACAATTATTAATTTTTAGTAATCAATATAAGGATGAAACTTGGGCAGAGTATAATTCCATTATGGATAAAATTTTATTTTAATATAGAAAAAATCCCTATTTAGACATTTAGAAAACAGAAACATTGAGCGAAGAAATATTTACTTTTTAATTAGATCGTCATCTCTGGCTCTACTCTAATATACACGTACAGCATTTTTATTACAATACACAACAATTTACCAATCAAGTGGCGATATGTTTGTTGACAATAATTAGTCAGTGTCAAAATGTCAATGGGGTGATAATTAACGAAGAAAATCAATACACATTTAAAAGGTAGAGATGGTTAGAATAAATTAATTTTACAAGGATAACACGTAAATTAATTTTGCTCTGCGAGTTCGTCTTCTACAGACGGCTGAAGTGATCGGAATTCACCTGAAGAATCCAAGCCTATGTGTACAGAAAAAATTTGTACAGCCACTTCCCTACCGTAGCCATCGTCACAAGAATGCATAAACAAGATTACGTCGCCCCCTCCCCCTAAACCTATAAAAATTATAATTGTTTAAATTATTTATTTTATTTTTATTTATTTTAAACATGTCATCTTTAATTTACGTGTTATCCTTGTAAAATTCATTTATTCTAACCATCTCTACCTTTTAAATGTGTATTCATTTTCTTCGTTAATTATCAACCCATTGACATTTTGACACTGACTAATTATTGTCAACAAACTTATCGCCACTTGATTGGTAAATTGTTGTGTATTGTAATAAAAATGCTGTACGTGTATATTAGAGTAGAGCCAGAGATGACGATCTAATTGAAAAGTAAATATTTCTTCGCTCAGTCTTTCTGTTTTCTAAAATTTTATTTTGATAAAGTCTCAGTGTTATACAGTGATGTTTACTGATGACCTCGTTTCGACCACAAATTATTACTGCTCATAATCATATCAAGACACTACTCAAACAACTTTTTTGCTTCATTTGTATACATGAGTAAAAACTGACTAGACATTTGAATAAAATCAATATACGATAAAGTACATTCGAAAATAATACTACTGTTATCAATCAAATACAATCAGATGGGAAATAAGATTCTTTCACCGTAAAAATAAGTAACTTGTTAGAATGTTATAATGTGCATTGAAATACATTTTAACATTATTTGTTGTCCTCCTCTGATCTGACTGGTAATAATATCGTCCATAACTCTGGTATTTGCATTGAGTCACTTATATTGACTGTAACCAATCTCCCACACTCTCCAACTACCCATATTACATTTTGGAATTTTGACTCTTTTCCACCCTATTGTGTAGTTGTGTGTTAATGCACGCAGTGCTATTGGTGAGTTTTTTTTCTAAATTACTCATTTTCGGGAGATGAATCATTCTAACCTTAGCTAAATTTTTGTTTTGATAGTCTCACTACTCCTGATCTACTATTTTGACCTATGTACTTGACCTCACTCGCAGTCATTGCAAGGTATTTTGTAAATTATATTATTTTGTTTAATTCGGTCCACCGGGTCCTTTAACCTACAATAACATGAAACAGATATAGTTCATATGCCTTTTTTTACATGTAAGTAAACTAGAAAAATCAGTTTTAGGGTGGAAAATCACGTACATCAACCCTTATGATGTAGCATCTCACAACTCTGTGAAGTTCAGGAGTAAAACCTTACTGTTACCTGTGCGCACCTGGTTAGGCAATGTAAATTCACTCTCAAAAATCATTATGATAAATTTAGGGCTTAAGGATATTGACAATCAATAATCTCAAAAAATATATGCCAAATTATGATTCGGAATTAATCAAATGCTTCAAAACACTGTTCTAAAAAGGCAAATGGAATAAAGATTGCTTTTCTGATTATTAAAGAGTGACATAAAGTTTTTACTATACAATCTGGGTTGATAGCTTGTGTTCAGACAACCAGTAAATTCATCTCGTGTGGCTTTCCTACTCAGCATCTATGTATTTTATCAGCTCTCCTCTTTGAACATCATTTTCTGGTGAATTAACCTAAAATATGATTCACCTGTGGTCAGACTAACAATTGCTTGTCATACTGACAGTTCAGATGTACGTATCAAACATCCACTTCCTCTACTTCGAATAAGGTAATTATTAACAGAAGGTTTCATAAACTATGTGTGGTCAAAGCTGTGGATATAAATTTAATGAGTAGCTTAGTGCAGCGGTAGAATGCTCGCCAATCACTCTTGTGGTTCGTAGTTCGATCCCCGGCCAATACACTCATTTACCTTGCGCTAAGCCAGTAATAATACGTCAAGAGGGAAGGTTGGGCATAAGGATAGCAACCCCATCCCGTAAAAGTAAACACCACTGCTATCAAAAATTCAAAGCTCTAACCTGAGGCCCTTGGTTCCACTGGGAACGAGAATACATAAAACTAACTAACTTATGAGCAGCTTATCTGTTTGTGCTGTTATAGGTAGACAGAGATTTTACACTGGAAAGGTATTGAATAATCTCCACTTATATTCGTGGTATATAATAAAGGACAGTATTAATCACTATTTGAACAAAGAGTAGACATTGTAAAGTCCAAACTAACGCTTAAATAGTTAAAATTATAAATTCTAATAAATTGGGAATCAAATACACAGAAAATAACTCACTGATGGACTTTCATATCCTCTTCCAACCATGAACAAGACGGAAGCAATATAGCGTATTTGATGATAGAGAAAACCTGATGCCGAAATGGTAACTCGATAAAGTCTTGAGTGGCTGTAAAAAAAATATGAACGAAAAATTCTATAGGTATTCACCATTTAAGATATCACTTTGAAGAAAAAATATGCTTTCGTACTCAAGTGTGAAAAATGATGTCTTGTAAAATTAGGACTAACATATTAACGAGTATTTACAGTAACCAATGTATTTTATTCCCATCTCTTGCCACACTAACAATACGAAAAATATTCTCAGAGCCTTATCTATAAATAAATAAATAAATAGGGAAATTTGGGGCGAAAACATGTACAACTGTGTTTTGAGTGGTCAAAGTTAACTTGCTTTTAGTGAGTAGAGCAGGCAACGAAATCTTGATAGTGGCTAATGAGTCACAGTCCAAGCACAACCTAGGCATATGCTGCAGTTAGAACTCGGTTACTCATGACAGGTTTTTCATGTACTAGGCCGTGAACTAAAATTAGTGTTTGATGACTGATGACACTACCCACTTGTCTTGTCTGAGCAGAAACAAATGAGGCGGGATACGCGATATATATATATATATATATATCGCTTTGTATCCGATAAATATTGACAGTTAAACTGAGTCAGGTAGGGAGATGCAGACTTCCGGGTTGGGGCTCTCGGGACTCTAGGAAACAATGGCTGGAGACAATAGGTGACATGGCTCAAAATCGTTGTCAATGGCGCATATGTATTCAGTCTCTGTAATCTTTCATATTCCTTTCTACCATTACCCATTCTGTTTCGCTCTTATACTTGTCAAACTCTATTGATTCTCTTCACTCATCTTCTTGTCTACCTCTGTGTGCTACTTGGAACGTGGCAACTCGAACTGGTGCACTTCACTGCCAAGTTCTATGTTGAATACAGACAGACAGATTGATAGCAATTCAGTGTCAACACTAGAGTTGCCAGTATCTTCAGTGATGGTGAAACAATAGACCAGCCTTAGAATCAAAATGAAAAACTGGAAAATATCATATTCACCTGAAACTGGTTGCTACCATAAAGACAGACAAATATCACAAAAAGGAGGATGTTTTCCTATGAAGTCAATTCTGCAGGTTGAAGGGAGCAATACTTGTCAAATATAAACAACATATACGTGAACAATATTGTTTTTAATTATATCTCCCTCACGCTTTACTTTAATATATATAATTTGAATCAATGAGTAATAACGATAATAATGACAATAATGTCAATATAATAGTAGTACAAGTGGTTGACACGGGTGACGGCAAGAATAATGAAGACAGCATAATAGTGTGAACATTTCAATAATCAAATTAGGTCATTATCTTACGAATTTAGGAGTTACATATTATTTATATAAGGTGTATAGATAATCAGTCAAAATAAGTATAATGAATTTCGGGACGACTTAGCTTTAATTTGCTGGTTAAATTAACCGGGGCGAAGGAAGAAATAAAAGTAGAATAAACTTCTTTTGGATGAGAAGACTAAAGTTATTCCCCTGAATTCTAAAAGCTGCATCTGTGACTAAAACACAAGTTTAAATTCCATTCGGAAGGTTCCACGGAATATAATATATAGCTGTAGAAGTACTTCTTCCGTTTACTTGATGAACACTATCAATCGAAATAGAGACAAAACTGAGCTTTTCATAGATTTTCTTTGGTTTTTTCTAAACCATGAAGGATTATGTTTAGAAATACCTCTGTTAAGCCTCCTAGTTGTGCGCCGCCCTACTTAGATTTCTCCAGAGGAGCATCTAAATTTTCAAATGCTCATCAAAGTGGTACGACTAGGCAACTTATCCTTCAAACCCATAATCATAAACAGCCGGTTGGAAGGTGGTAAGCAGTAAGTAACAACAGTATAAGTCCTTCGAATAGCTTTAGATAGTTTTTGAGATAGAAATTTACTTTGTTATATAAATTATTCATGTGTATCCTAACAAACTTATCAGGATAACCCTTTACGAAAATCCACATTACGAGGAATTATAAACAGAAAACCTTCCTGAACCATTTGGGAGGCACCTGATCAACTTGACTTCATGCAATTATTATTACGATACCACACGCCAATTAATTCGCAACGAAGAACTCACCGAACAATCTAGATCTTCAGATGAACAAGATTATAAAAGAGGTAGCGAAGGTAGACACAGAGAAGATAGAAATGATGAGGATATCCAACCAACAACAACAATCACAATCAACAGTAGTATTCTAGAGAAATCTGTCTCACCCACATACCTGGCTAGACAGCAACATTTCAACTACAGACAGTATAACACCTGTCGGTCGCAAAGCCAACCAGGACGAGTGGGGAAGGAATGACAGGTATTCATTATTCTAAAATCAGTATGGAGATCTAAAGCATTTATTACAAGAAACAAGATAGGAATTTCCAACACTGATGTCAAGTTATTGAGCACTTCTGTTTGGTTCAGAGACTTGGTGCACACGTCACCAAAAGCATTTCCAACAGACTGCAGACTTCCATCAACACCCATGTTCACCACCCCGCTACTGAAGATCAGATCCCTGACAGGAAATAATAGGCAACAAGGGGTTCTGTAGGGTGGAAAACCAGGCAAGAACCTATGACTGGCTTAACAATTATGCATAAGGAAATAGAGGTGGATCGGAAATACGTTGAGATTTCAGGTGACATTACATGCCAGGAATACCCTAGAGTGGGGCCTGAATGGGACTCGACGGCCTGGGTGTCTGACAATAACACGGGTGAGATCATGTGAACAACAAATAGGAGGTTATGGAGCCAGTCGAAGATAATGGCAGAAAACTTTGTGCAACTGTGATGCTAATGAAGCTTTATGTCCCACCCGAAACACAAAAAGTGAAGAAATATTATTATTTCCCTTGATAAACTTGAATAACGCAATAAGTTTTTTCAGAATAAGATGAATTCACTTTATTTCACAGGGTTTTTGTCAGCTACATACAATCTGTACATTAAAATACACAACTAATAAGTGTGATATAGCTTAGACACTTCAAGTGAATTGACAGTTCATTCTATAGGAGTTGAATAACATACCGAAAACGAAAACACAAAAGGTGTCAGTGTCAGTACTTACCACGGTAGTAGTAAGCTAGGGACAGTCTCTTTTTTGATGTCGCTGTGTTCTTCAAGATGGATGTTTCAAATTCTAAGCTTTCATTGTCTGAAAAGACAGCTCGGAGAACACAACAGAATCACCTATCAGAGCTGCGAATCCACATTATTTCATATTCGCGTTTTGGACACAGTTCAGATCTTTATTATTATTATCATCATTGTTTATCATTATTATTATTATTTTAAAAAATCTTACACTTCGGATGGTGATAGTTTTAGCCGATCGAGATAGTCGTAAAGTCCCTTATCTGTTCATCATCTTAAAGGATTCTTCCCCGTTGACCTTGTGCCCTGCAGTGCTGTTAAACGAAGCCGAATCATTAAGACGAAAAGTCTTCAGAATATGTTCGAAAATCTTTGTAAGAAGCAGCTCCTCTGTTCTTTGTACGTACTTGCTACTACATTTACATATGAATTAATAAACAGCGTTAACAGTTGGAAATTGGTCTGGTTTAGATGTATAATTAAACGGTCTGTTTTATACATGATGACTGGTTTTGCGACGGGATATATCCCCGATACTGCGTCTTTTATCCCTGTGTAAACTCTTTCCCTAATTCCGTCACCTTCTACACCTAATTTAGAGAACGTTCATTTTTTCCACAGTACTGCACTCCGTCTTCATCCTGCCAAACTTACAATGCTTCTCTATGAATCTGTTTGGATATCCATTGTCCCTTAAATGTGCATCGATGAGAGTGATTCCATGTTTTAATACTGTTTTGGAGAAAAGCTTTTGTGCTTTTTGGTATAGTGTTTTTACTAAACCTTCCTTGTAACTTTTATGATAGCAGTTGAAGTTTAAGTATGGGCTACTCCAAGTTGCTTCGCGGTGTATACTCCTTTCTACTGTCTCTTCTTATCATGTATATGTCAGCATGTAGTTGACGCCTCTTGGGCTCCATTGAGTGAATAATGTTGAAATTCTGTAGCAGCATTTAGGCGTGAAACGTATCACCAACTACAACAAATATGTCACCTACATACCCGGAAAATAATACAGTAGCGGTGGCTGTAGATTTCAATGTATTTTTTCTAGATGGAATAAGAGTATATCAACCAATACTGGATCTAGCGGACTCCCAGTTCAATTTTCAACATAACACATCGAATGACATTATGGGTAAAATTTATTTTGATCAAGTCTCAGTGTTATACAGTAATATTTACTGGTGACGTTTCGAATACCTTAATATGATTATGAGCAACAATTTCAGAGCTGAATATTCTCAAAAACTGCTTATATATCAATAAAACATAAACCTTGTCCAGATTAATCTTCGAGTCATCCGAAAGACCTGGACTAGAATATTTTTTTTAGTGGGATTAAAGTCGAAAATCACATAATACACGGAAGCCTCACAATTGATGTGGGAAAACAATCTCCTGATATCATAATCCATACGCGAAAGAATTCACGAAACTGTCTAATTGCTAAAGTCATGAGTAAAAGATCATAACCCTAAAACTGCAATAATGATAGGAGTTGAAAACAAGCAAATGGTATGAGGTATGAAACATAACTGAACTAATGGTTCAAGGTGTGAGAATTTTCATGAATTACCTTAGTGGGAAAAATAAACCATTATCAAATAACTGATAGACAAATAGGCTAATGTTGACATCGTAACAAAAGAAAGGCTTAATATTTTACACTTACTCATCTGAATGATTTTCAGAACCATCCACCAGATTTATCGATACTTCAAAGATTTCACGAACAAAAGTTACTGTTTCTTTTTCGATTCGGGAAGCACAAAAATTTCGAAAATCGTGCACTCCAACCAGTCGACTACCTGCATCAACCATTGACTATATGAAGATATCATTTAAGCTCCTGATACGTACCTTAATATCCAGTCCACCCTCAGGAAAATAATATTCATATGTTCTCTTCAAACAATCAAACCTAGAAGTTTGGCAAAAGAAAGCAGCCCATACCTTGCGCTGAAGTCTGAAGAGACAGGAGACCAAGCCAAAACCCGTATGTCTCGTGGTAGGTTTTGGTTTAGCATAGATACGTAGTCCATTTCAACTTCGGGAATACCTACAAAAAGTCAAAACACCAGTATTAACAAACCATGACGTTCAGATATACGGGGACCAGAGTCATCGATTATGCCTATACCAGAAGCTAGGACAGACCGTGTTATTAAGGTTACAACCTTCAAATTTACTGATTATTTAAAATATTATCAAATCACCTGGCATAATCCACTAACTCCCTTGTCAGTCCGTCCACAAACTGAAAATTCACACTCGTTTCTGGGAAAATAAAGTCAGTAAACGAACAAACCTATCCTTTACTAGCCTGCATTGCTCTAGTGCGTCAAACATGCGGTCCATAACAGTCAGTGCAAGACCATATTGAGGAACTAGACCACCATAATCCCAACCCAAATAGGAGAACTTTAGGGCTATATGACGCTTTTTATACCTACTAAAATACTTATTTTAAAAGATTAAACCTCTCGAATTCAAATGGATGGATAGTTTTACGTTTTTCTACATTCTGTTCGCGGAGCTTCAATAGAATATTTTCAAGTTGCTGGTTTTGTCTCAACAACGAAATAGCTTTTTCTTTCAAACTCTGAGAAAATCACCGGTGTTAAACATGAGACTTACATCGAAATCGAGTTCATTGAGAGACTCTACCTTAGAATACAGATCTCTTGGCCTCGACATCACTCTAATCACATTTATCATTCCAAAATGTGCAGATGGGTGTGTCCTTGAATATCAAGCAGATAAACACTTACAAACTGAATGTCTGAGTTTTGTGTACTGGAGCATCTAATATTTTAAGTTTACTGTAAATAGGGCCATTTCATGTTTTCAGTGAGGTTTCCCTGGTTTGTATTTCGTTTCTTCCACTGGTTAATAATAATAATAATTTTTGCTTTATTCCAAAAACAGTACTAATTATACAACAAGGAATTTTCAGCATTCAGTACAATATTGCATCTATTTACTCAAAAACGACAAAAAAATTAAAAATACACACTACATAATAGTAATAAAACGATTGTTATAGCAGCTACGTAGCAAAATACTGTATGCCATGCGGAGAAAATATGCATTAAGTACAAAATTGTGGTAACAATAGTAACACCAACTAAAATAAAATAGCAGAGTAACAATTTAACGATAGAAAGTGTGACACCATAAAATACAGAAAGATGAATGATGAAAGGGTCGATTCACTCTGCTAATTACATAGTAACTTGTAAGTTTCACGTCTAACAGAGTCTTCGTTACATAAAGTACAGGCTAAATAGGGTATTGTAGAATTTCTATACATAGTGGTACGGGCATATAACTTTTTATATTGACTTCTCGTCCTACCTGATGAGATACAAGAGGACAGGTGTGAATAAAGGGGGTGCAGAGGGCCTGACAGTATAGCCTTTGCCCATTTCGTGCAGGAATTTAAATGTCTCTCGGCTATAGTATTAGCGAGCTCGTGCAGTGGCAGACCACAAGCTCAATAAAAAAGCAGATGCGTCTTCTACATAATCTACATATAAAAGCACTATTTTGCGTAATTTGTGTGGAAGTTGTCATGGACGACGGGTTTCTGGTGGGAAGCACCCATCGCCAACAAATATTCAGAATAAGATCAACTATAGTTTAAGATTTCTGTACGTCTCAGTTACCCTCGAAATGAGACAATTCAGATGACGACAGGGATAGTTGCAGGTGGTGAATACCCTGAGAGTACATGTGTCAATGGAGATGAAGATTGAACGATCAATTCTTGGTTGTTTGCTTAAAATCAACTTCCCCAATTTTCGCGGAGGCATCAATACGACAGTCATCGTCTCATCGGTCGCTGTTCAGAAAGAAGAGTGAAACATCGTCAGAAGTAATACAATGATTTATTATTGTAATATTTGTTTTCAGACCTTAGTTCGCCTATTCTTTTTATATGTTGGTGTAACAATAAAGAAATATCAAACGGCAGATCGGTGTTTTGGTATTTTCGTCCGTTATAACTAAGCGTTTCTGAAATCTTCGAAGAACAGCGTGGGCCCGAGCGCAGCGAGAGCTGGGTATTAACGGTTTATGAGACGTGATTGACAGTTTCTGACATTTGAAACAGATCTGGCGGATTCAAACAGTTGGTGAAAGTTTGGATAGTCGCCGTTCATTTTTCCTGGTGCCGGTCAAGTCCTCTTTGAACAAGCAATATCTGGAACGTTTATGGAATTGGGTCAAGTTCAACAATGCCTGGGTCAAAGAAGGGACAGAGTGTCTTGGATACAAACAGGAAAGTAAGTCATGGTGACTTGTCTGTTAGTTGTAACGATGTGTCTGATGTTAAGCATGACATGGTTGATGTTACTGTTTCGCCGTTCAGGGATAATAGGAACATCAAACTCCCTAAATTTGAACCACGGTGTTTCGATGGAAACCCGGCCGATTATTTACAATTTGTAAAGGAGTTTGAGATCATGTTGAGTGGTATTTTATTAAATGATGAATTGAAGTTAATGTATTTGATGAGATATTGCACTGGAGATGCTGCAAGAGCTATACAGTGCTGTAAGTTTATGAAGCCAAAAGAGGGCTACTACGAGGCTATGAGCATATTACGTCGAAGGTTTGGAAGACCTTCGATGATTGCAGGGAAATTATTCGAGGCTGTTAAGGGTAATGGTGGTCAATTACAGGATGACTCCCAGGCACTTACTGAGTTTTTAGATAATTTGCTAATTTACAAGAATGGAATGATTTCGATGGGATCGCTAGAGTTGGTGGACGTCTACAAATGTTAGAATCGTCATATGAGACCCGTCATCCGGCTTTATTACCTTGCTACCATCCAGTCACTGATCTCATTATAAGACACTACCATGTTCTTGAAGGTCATTTGGGTACTTCGCAAGTACTATCAAGTATTCGATGTAAGTTCTGGATAGTGAAGGGAGGTACTGCTGTCCGTAAAATAATTGATAAGTGCATGGAATGTAAACTCCGAAATGCTCGTCCAGTACAGCAGATAATGGCACCACTGCCAGCGTGGCAAGCTTCTGAAGGGAATTATCCATTTGAGTACGTTGGGGTGGATTTGTTCGGACCTTTTGTAGTGAAGAGAGGCAGAACCCTATGTAAAAGATATGGCTGTTTATTCACCTGTTTGAAAATGAGAGCTGTGCATATTGAGATGGTTCATACGCTAACTACTGATTCATTCGTGCTAGCATTACATAGATTTATAAATCGCCGGGGTGTACCGAAGATGATGTTCAGCGACAGAGGGACTAATTTTGTTGGCTGTCACGCCGAGCTTAAAGAATACTTCGAAGGTCCTCAAACGAGAGTTCAGGAAGAGTTACTGAAAAGGAACATCGAGTGGCACTTCAATCCACCACATGCCAGCCATAGAGGTGGGCTATGGGAAAGACTTATAGGAATTATCAAGCGTATTTTAAGCTCCATAATTAAAAACCAGAGTTTGAATGACGAAACGCTGGAGACATTTTTTTGTGAAGCTGAACGAATATTAAATGACCGGCCGTTATCACCTGTGAGGGACGACGTCAAGGATTTTGATGTGTTAACCCCAAATAAATTATTGTTATTGAGAGGCAACCCTGGCATAGAGGACGCAAGCGGGGAAGGAATACCTACGATTAAAAGATGGAAACAAGCCAGGCACATGAAAGATATATTTTGGAAAAGATGGTTAAAGGAGTATGTTCTAACATTGCAGACCAGGGACAAGTGGAAAAAGTTGTGCCGAAACTTAAAGGTTGGTGACATAGTATTAGTAGCAGATAAATGTGCCACAGGTAGGTGGCCTTTGGGAGTGGTAGTAAGGCTGATCTGTAGTGGTGATGGATTGGTGAGGACGGTTGAGGTGAGAACTAGTTGTGGCATGTTGGTGCGAGATATCAGAAAACTGTGTCTCCTGGAAGGTGCTGAGAGTAGAGAGTCGGAGGATGAAACAATAGATGATTTTCCAACCTAGAGCGTCAACCTGAGAAGGGTTGTAGGCGTACTGCTGTAAGTCCTACAATTCTTCAAAGGGTAGCGCATCAATGAGCAGTCTAATGTGCTCGGTGTGTGATTTTGTACATATGTTCATATTGTATATACTGAATTGATATCACCTGTCATCTAGCTGTTGGTAATTCTGTTTGTGTCCGGACATTCCACAACTTACAATCGTCAACCTGTGAAGGTTTGTAGGCGTACTGGTGTAAGTCCTGCAATTCTTCAAAGGAATTCCATCAAGACATGAAATGCGAGTTTGTGTGTACTGTTTGTATATACGTGTGGTGTGTCATATCAATTGGTGTTTTTGGATTCATTGTGTTTACTCGTTGTTTTCGTACCTTGTTTTTATTGCATAATTTTGTTAAAATTTTCGTCGTGATTACTTCTGAAGTTGTTTCTTGTCTTCTACATCCGTGAATGAATTGATTGATGTTAAAGACAGCAGATGGGTCGTATACGCCGGGGAGGCTAGGCTATTGCTGAGAATGAAATGCACACGGAGATAATTGTTAGCTGCGGTCCGACACGCCGGGGAGAAAGAGTGTAAACGACTGAGGCTCGCATGCGTCACCGCTACTAGAACTGAGGCAGAATGAGTGACAAGCGATTTCAGTGGTAATTGGTAGTGAGTAGATAAGAGGATGTGCGTAGAGTATCGTGAGGTGCTGCCATGGTCACGTTGCATTCTGCAAGAGTCATTCTAGCAAGTGGCGATTGTGTTGCAAGATGTCAAGAGGAGGTCTCTGTCTGGAGGCGCAGGTCGTCATTGATGTGTGAGATTGTGCTGTGGGTATGCTTGTGGTGTGTTGGCTTTTCTGTTTGTTTTCCATTTCAGCTCTGTCCGTGTGACCCAGGTTCTCGCAATGGCATCCAAGTCAACGTGCATTGGTCGTGAAGGAAAAAAGGGTTGGATCTCTTTTTTGCCGGGGAGTGTCAATGGAGTTGAAGATTGAACGATCAATTCTTGGTTGTTTGCTCAAAATCAACTTCCCCAATTTTCGCGGAGGCATCAATACGACAGTCATCGTCTCATCGGTCGCTGTTCAGAAAGAAGAGTGAAACATCGTCAGAAGTAATACAATGATTTATTATTGTAATATTTGTTTTCAGACCTTAGTTCGCTTATTCTTTTTATATGTTGGTGTAACAATAAAGAAATATCAAACGGCAGATCGGTGTTTTGGTTTTTCGTCCGTTATAACTAAGCGTTTCTGAAATCTTCGAAGAACAGCGTGGGCCCGAGCGTAGCGAGAGCTGGGTATTAACGGTTTATGAGACGTGATTGACAACATGTACCCTTTTTTCGTATCAACTACTGGATGTGTGAATCCATCGACGAAAAACAATTTATTGGTAATACGGTAGCCAATGAGGGCTATTCTTACTCTTTTAAAATCTACAAGAACCTTTCTTCCGGCATATTCTGTTGATTCCGACAATTAGGGCTGTGAATTATATATTCTCTTGTCCACCGCTTTTATATTAACATCTCGCTCTCCTTCTTTCTTTTGCAACCTCCCGTTACCTAACCTGTTCATCTCCCACATGCATATGTGTTGAGTGTGACTATTATTATATCCTTTAATTCCAAGAGGAACATAGGGCCTCAGCTGCACGTCTCCATTGCCTTCGGTTTTATGCCAACGTTTTCACCCTGCTCCACGTCTGCCCACATGCTTTCATCTCCTCTTCACACGACCTCCTCCAAGCACCCTCGCACTGACGACCAGCTCGCCGCTTCCCTTTCGGGTTACACTCGAGCGATGGCTTGTCTAGTGATGTCACTTGATGGTTTCCTCAGCGTATGACCAGCCAATCCATCTCCATTTCTTCCTGCCTATTTGTTTCACAATC